GATACAGAGATAGAAGGAAGGCCATGAGAAGCTGTATCTGCAAGCCAAGGAATGCTTGGGACTAGTAGAAAATGAAGGCAAGGAAGGATCTAGAAACTTCATTGGGAGTATGGTTCAGCTGATACTAGATTTGGAGAGTGTCGAGCTCTCCCCCGGCTTTGTTGTTGTTGTTGTTGTATGCTGTCGAGTCGGCCCCAACTCATAGCAACCCCTCCTTGAGTTTCCAAGGCGGTATCACTAAGGAAGTAGGATTGCCCAACCTTCCTTCAGAGGAGTGGCTGGTGGGTTTGAACCTCCAGCCATCTGGTTAGCAGTCAAGTGCCTTAGGCACTATGCTACCAGAGCGCCTTCCCCTGGCTTTAGTAATAGCTTTTTCTCACATGCCTGCTCATCTTTCCAATCTCAGTAAGGCCTTCCACAATCCCCAATCTAGATTATTTTCAGTAGTCTGTTTCTTCCAAAAGGTCACAATTTTTAATTACATATTTGTTTACATCTGTCTCCTCCATTAGATTATAAAATCCAAGGTTTATAAAAAAGACACAGGTCTTGTGTGTTTTTTGTTCACTACTGCATGTTCAGCAGATGACATAGTACCCGGCATAAAGTAGAGGAATATTAAGTATTTGTTCAATAAATAAAGACATTGAATTATTTATTGAATTAGAGAGATCGCATGTGTCTTTTTAGAGCAGCATGCTTTTGTGTGTGTATTTCATTTGTGATGAAGTCAGGTGAAGTGGCAGGGTGACAAAGAGAAAAAATGTAGGTGAAGAGGCAAAGGAATGAAATAAAAATGACAAGAACAAAACGAGTGAGAGAAAAGTGACAGTTATATTACAATGAGAACAATGGAAGAAAGGCAGCAAAGGGCATTGTGGTAGGTTGAATGGTGTTCCCTCAAAAGATATGTTCAGGTCAAATTCTTGGAATCTGTGAATGCTACCATATTTGGAGAAAAAGTTTTTGCAGATGTAATTAAGGATTTTGAGATGAGGAGAACACTCTAGATTTTCCAAGTGGGCCCTAACTCCAATGACAATTATCTTTATAAGAGATGCACAGAAGAGACACAGAGGAAGAAGCAATGTGAAGATGGAGACGGAGACAGAGACTGGAGTGATGCAGCCATAAGCAGGACATACAGAGGTGATGAGAAGACAGAGGCAGAGTTTAAAGTTATGTGGCCACAAGTCAAAGAAACCAAGGAATGCCTATAAAAAAACAAAACAAAAAAACCTCACTGCCATCAAGTCAATACCTACTCATAGCGACCCCCATTGGGTTCCCAAAGCTGTAAATCTTTATGGAAATAGATTGCCTCATCTTCCTGCCACAAAGCAGCTGAAACTACTGACCTGATTAGCAGCCAAATGCCTTATCCACTGTCACCAGTGCTCCTTAAGGAATGCCTGTACCACTAAAAGGTGAAAGAGGCAAGCAAAGATTCTCCCTTAGAGCCTCCAGTGGGAATGCAGCCCTGCAGACACCTTGATTTTGGAATTCTGCTTCTAGAACAGTGACAGAATAAATTTCTGTTGTTTTAAACCATCCAGTTTTAGATATGTTATGATCCCAAACCATAAACCAAACCTACTACCATTGAGTCTGATTGTGATTGTGACTCATAGTGACCCTACAGGACAGGGTAGAACTGCCCATAGAATTGCCAGGATGGTAAATCTTTTCGGAAGCAGACTGCCTCCTCTTTCTCTCTAGGAGCAGCTGGTGGTTTGAAGCACCAACTTTTTTGGTTGGCAGCCTAATGCTTTAACCATTATGCTACCAAAGCTCCTTGCTTTTGTTATGATAGTCACAGGGAATTAATACAGGCATGAACACAACAGAATTCACAGTGTACTGTATTTTTTTCCTTTAAGTATCATTAAAAATAACACACACAAAAAAATCCTTCCCAAGAGTTAGATTTTGCTTTAAATAGATCAAAGAATTTTTAGGAAATAAGAATTTGTGAACAGCCATAAAGATAAAGAAGTTCAGTTTCTGCAAGCATAACATTTAATGATCTTTTAATAGAAAAGCATTCCTTCAATGACTGAGATGTACGAATCTTTATTTAACCTAGTAAGAAATTGAGCACTTGATTGTACTCATGAGGAATCTGTACCTTGACCAGGAGGCTGTCGTTCGAACAGAACAAGGGGACACTACATGGTTTAAAATCAAGAAGGGAGTGCGTCAGGGTTGTATTCTTTCTCCACACTTATTCAATCTATATGCTGAGCAAATAATCCAAGAAGCTGGACTATATGAAGAAAAACGTGGTATCAGGACTGGAGGAAGAATCATTAACAACCTGAGATATGCAGATGATACAACTTTGCTTGCTGAAAGTGAGGATGACTTAAGGCACCTACTGATGAAGGTTGAAGAATACAGTCTGCAGTATGGATTACGTCTCAATATAAAGAAAACAAAAATCCTCACAACTGGACCAAGGAGCAGCATCACAATAAATGGAGAGAAGCTTGAGGTTGTCAAAGAATTCACTGTTGCTTGGTTCTACAATCGATGCCAACGGAAGCAGCAATCAGGACATTAGACGATGTGTAGCATTGTGAAAGTTAACTGCGAAGGAACTGTATCAAGTGCTGAGGAGCAAGGATATCTCCTTGAGGACTAAGGTGCGCCTGACACAAGCCATGATATTTCCAATCGCCTGGTATGCATGTGAGAGCTGGACAATGAATAAGGAAGACTGAAGAAGAGTTGATGCTTTTGAGTTGTGGTGCTGGTGGAGAATGCTGAAAGTAGCATGGACTGCTAAAAGAACTAACAGATCTGTCCTGGAGGAAGTGCAGCCAGAATGCTCCTTGGAAGCAAGAATGGCTAGACTTCGTCTCACCTATTTTGGTCATGTTGTGAGAAGGGACCATTCCCTGGAGAAGGATGTCATGCTTGGTAGGGTGGAGGGTCCACTAAAGAGGGGGAGGCCTTCAACGAGATGGATTGACACAGTGGCTGCAATGATGGGCTCAAGTATAGCAGGGATTGTGGGGCTGGTGCGGGATCGGGCAGTGTTTCGTTCTGCTGTGCATGGGGCCGCTGTGAGTCGGAAACGACTCGAAGGCACTTAACAACAACAACAACAAGTAAGAAATTACTACAAGAAAGTAATCGTGTTGTAAACTATCTTTCATGTATTTCCACTTATCTTGCGACTGCCTGATAATTAACATCAGATTTTATCACACCTCATGTGTTCCCTTCTTCTTCTCAGGTTAAGTTATTTAATGTCACCTGTGTCTCCCTCTAAGGTTCTTTTTATCTTGGGATTTATTTTTCTTTATGCTGCGTGAATGTATGAGTCAACACTCAGTGCTGTCTAATGTACAACTTGAAGCACAACTGCGTAAGCCAGTTTAGTTGGTGACCAGCAAGTGACATCATCAAGATAAAACTAAATTTAAAAAGAAGAAATTACAGGATGAGCCTCTTTCAAGCTTTAAATAAATTAAAAATCAAAGTCTGGCACCACTAAACAATCTGAGCTGTCTCTTCCAAACTTTAAATTTCATAATTAACCATTACAGTTGCAGAAGCCAGGCTACTTCAAAATTCAACACAACATTTTGTGTATTTTTGAGGTGCCTAACGGGGAGGAGTTAATGCTCCTGGCAGGGTCTACCTGAAACTATCAATGTCACTTACGGACAGAAAAACACTTCAAGGGAAAACCTGAGGGACAGATAGAACCTAGCACGTGAGGCACTGGAAGGCAAGAGTTCCGTGCTGTCAATTGGCCCTTCATCAGTTTTGCCTTAGGGTCCCAGATCCCCTTCTCAAAACTGTCTTGCTGCTTCGGTGGGTCAACTCTGGGGGGTCAAACCAGAGCTAGTACTGCGCGCCCTCCCATCTTGCTGACTGAAGACCCCATTTCGTCCTTGCGAGCGGGGTAATGGTGAGGTTAAGGCCAGAGCACTCACTGGGCCCGAAAGAAAGTTCTGCCCCCACCTCCCAATTGCTGCCGGAACTCGAACAGTCCTCTTACTTCCCGAGCCAGTGGGGAGGGGTCTCCGGGCCGAGAGCCAAGCCGCTGAAGACCGACCTGGCGTGGTCCGGTCCGCCCTCCCTGGGCTGCTGCGGATGAGGGACGGCGGGGCCTCTGCTAACTTGGGTGTCGGGCGGGCACCCACCTTTCAACCCATCTTGGAGCTACAGTTTCCCAGAGCCCGCCCGCTGCCCTAGAAGAACGCGGTAGCCATCCGATTGCAAAACTGGTCTAACTCGGGCGGCTCGGACCAGGAACCAGGAGGCGGAGAAAGGTCTTTTCCTCCCCCCGCGCACGCGTCAGCGCCGTAGTCTGGGAAGCGTCGTAATGACTAAAAGATGCGCGCCTAAAAAAAAAATTCCCTGCAACCGGCTAACAACCACTGCCCTCAAAGAAATTTTTGCCCCAGCCGCACACAAATTTTTTCCGTAGAACTGATGACAGACCCCCAAGAGAGGTTTTCTGTGGATATGCTCCAGGAGTGCGGGCCTGAAGGTTTGTAGGAGCAGGACCCTCCATGAGGCTGGATGGCCGTCGCGCCTTACGATGCTTCTCGCCTCAATCGCTCCTAAATCTCTGCAAGTCTTGGCGGCGGCTGATCTGTCAGGTGTACCCCATGACCTGTCTCTGTGCCCCGCAGGTACGCGCCTGCGGGCCTAGCCTAACTCTCCGATTCGGAGTACCCGCACTTGGGAACGCGCTATTAGAGCAGCTGTGGCTCCTCGTTTGCGTGTTTATTAGAGGTTGAATGGTAGTGATGGCGGCACTCGGTGAGACTTTCCTGTCACTGGATACTACTACTCCCAGCCCTCCTCAATGCCGCTGGAGCAACCCCCTAGTCTTTAGTTTACAAGTGGCAATTTGACTTGCTCCGCTGCATGTCAGGAGGGACCAAGCAAAGTGTGGAGACGCCCCGGGGATTAAGCGATCGCAGTTTGAAAAGGAAAAAAGCCAAACAAATAAACAAAACCCACCCACCGTAACAAACATGGGGCTGCTGGAGAGAATGAGGAAAGAATGGTTCATGCTGGGAATAGTGCTGGCGATCGCCGGAGCTAAGCTGGAGCCGTCGGTTGGGGTGAATGGGGGTAAGTGCTGCTCCTCTGCACGCTCCACCGCGATTCCCACCTCAGGACTTATTTGCGAATTTGGAAAAGAGGAGAAACCATAATTGGGAAGTCTCTGCCTTTTAGGTCCTCTGACCAGCCCAGGTTCCCCCTTGGACCTTTTGCTGATTTTGTGCCTTGCCAGCCTCAGTGGGCACTTGTATTTAGAAATGGGGCAAAAGAATTTGAGCACAGGTTGTCTTTTCCGCGAACTATCAACGACTCTCTCAGTGCCAAGGAGAGAGGCTGCTGAGAATGAAACTTACTCCTATTGCCTTCAAAGTAGCATCCTATCTCAAAGGATTCTAGGCTGCCAAGAGTTCGATGTCTTTCTTGAGGTGGAGGCCGTTATATAGTCTATTACAACCCCCTCCCCCCACGTTAAAAAAAAAAAGGTGAAGGGGGGGAGAAAAATTTACCAGCACCCCCCACCCATCACCACCACTACCACCAAGCTCAGGTTTTTGTGGCCACATGTTGGAGAGATGATTTGCTGCATTTGCTGCCGCTCCAGAAACTCCCAAGCCGACTGACACGTTGCACATTTTCATTACAGGACACTACTTCCGTGTGCCACACTAGCAGTCTAACAGATACAGGCAGTGTTAGACTTTGTGTAGTGTGTATTTTGGCAAGGAAATGTAGGTGTGCTAAGACAAACTCAGATCTCTGAATAGAGGAGTCTTGTAATGTGGAGGTGGGCATTGGTGGAAACAAACTGAAAATAGCATTAGCTCTTTGTGTGCCCCATCTTTCCCTTTTACAATTATTTCTTCAATTCATTGTCCTTTTTGACCTTGTTTTGTCAGTTAAACTTATGGACAGGCTTAATACATAAGTCAGTCTGGGCAAATAAGGATAGAAGTGAACACACAAAATATAATAGGAAGTGCTCACTAGGGTATTTCAAGTTATTTGTACTTAAAAAAAAGATTTTATGAATGTATTTTTTTATGTTTGTACTCTTTTTTGCTGAAACATGATGGAAATGAATGAAATGATCACTCAAGATAACAGGGGTTCCTCCTGCCCTCACTCCAACTCCTCCCCTTTAGAAGTAACTTGGGAACGTTTTAAAAGTTATATGAAGAAAGACTGTGGAAAGCTGTTTTGTTTGTTTTTAAAATCAGTTTTTTCCTCTATATTTAATTCAGTACAAAATGTGTAGAGTGTTAACTGTGAGAATAAAGCCATTTTTCGTGTGGCTTCTCCCTCTGAGGAGCCCTGGTGGTGCAATGGTTAAGCAATCAGCTGCTAACGAGAAGGTGGGTGGTTGGAACTCATCAGCTGCTTCTGGGGAGAAAGATGTGGCAGTGTACTTCCGAAAAGATTTACAACCTTACAAACCCTTTGGGGCAGTTGTATCTTGTCCTACAGTGTTACTTGAGTTGGAATCGACTTGATGGAGGTGGGTTTTGGTTCAGTTCTCCCTCAGAAGATACCAGTTTCTTTTTTGATACAACTTTTCTGTGGCCTTTTGGAAAACGCATGTGAATGCTGGTGCTTCATTTCTATAAAATGAGGATCCTCTGTCCCTGCATGCTATCAATTAAGAATTAAAGTTAGGGTCTTTCTGATGATCTGGAATGCACAATTCACTGCTTGCAACTTCTAGTTGTAGATCTTTTATTTACTCAGTTTTAAGGTAAAATTATAGGTGATGTATGATCTTTAAGTTTAAATCTGGCGATGCTAGTTTTGGTTAACTAACTTTTATATTCCCAGTATGTTTTGTGAGGAGAAGGGTTCTTGAGCCCTAAATTATTTCATTAGGGCTTCCACTCCAGTGGCAGGTAGGAGACGAATTCTGTAATTTTGTATGTTCCCCTTGACTCTGCTTATTGAAGTTTTTGGTACATTCTTGTAGCTTAGAAATATTGTTTCCCATTTTCACTAGTCCCATATTTCCCATTTTCACTAGTCCCATATTTCCCATTTTCACTAGTCACCAATATAGGATAGTTCCTTTCCTCTTTTAGTTATTATAAAAGGGTAGAATATAAGACCTGAAATCAAAACCAAAGTCACTGCCATCGAGTCGGATCCGACTTGTAGTGATCCCTCCTTGGGTTTCAACCTTAAAAGTGTTTTAGTGCAACTTGCTTCTTTTACCATTAAAGATACCAAGGTCTGAGGTTGAGTGACACACCCTAAATTAAATTAGCTGGCTTAGGGAAGAGGAAAGAAGAGTGACTAGGTAGGGCTTCTCCTTAGTTCATACCAGTTGTAAAATCCATGGTGATTGTCCTGGAAAAGTCCATTAAAGATGAATAACCATTATAAAGAAGGGCTGTCTGTAATAAGAAGCTCTGGTGGCACAGTGGGTAAGGCGTTTGGCTGCTAACCAGAAGGTCAGAGGTTCAAACCCACCAGCTGCTCTTGGAAGGAAGATGAAATAAACTATTACTATAAAGATTTACAGCCTTGTAAACCCAGTGGAAGTTGCTATGAGTTGCAGTCAACTCGATGGTAGTGGGTTTAGCTTTTAGTTTTTCTGTGGGAGCTCTAGGAGCTCTGGTAGTGTAATGCCTAAGGCACTTGACTGCTAACCAGAAGGCTGGAGGTTCAAACCCACCAGCCACTCCTTGGAAGGAAGGTTGGGCAATCGACTTCCATAGTGATACCACCTCGGAAACACAAGGAGGGCTTGCTATGAGTCGGGTCAACTTGACGGCACACAACAACAACATGGGAGCTCTGGTGGCGTAGTACCTAAAGGCGTTTGACTGGCATTTAACCAGAAGGCTGGCAGTTCAAACCCACCAGCCACTCCTCGGAAGAAAGACTGGGCAATCTACTTCCATAATGATACTGCCTGGGAAACCCAAGGAGGAGTTGCTATGAGTCAGATTCGACTTGACGGCAGTGAGTTAGAGTTTTAGAGTTATGTAATAAAGACAATTTCCATGCCTCGAATCAGCCCAAAGGAGTACAGCAAATTGAGTTATTACTAAGCAATAATGTATTACATATGATTTCTTTGATATCTGCCCATGTGTAAAAGTTATGTTCCCTAAAACCAAAAGTTAAGTAAATGAGTGTTTGGGATTTCCTATAGGGGCTGTCAGGCTAAATTCTTAACACCTCTGTTGAGGTTTTTATGAACTGTTCCACCTGTAAAACCTCTTAAATAAACACAAACCTCCAAGAAGTATCAAATAACACTTGACTCCACTAGCTTGCTGTGAGGTTCCATCAAGTGGTTCCAACTCATAGCAACATTTTGTACAACAGAATGAAACACTGCCTGGTGCTGGGCTGTCTACACAATCGTTGCTATGTTTGAGGCCATTTTTTGCAGCCATCGTGTCAATCCATCTCATTGAAGGTCTCTCTCTTACTCGCTGACCCTCTTCTTAACCAAGCATGATGTTCTCCAGGGCCTGGTCCCTCCTAATAACATGCCCATACTGAAAGCTGTGATCTTTGATCTTCATAAATAAGTGCTCTAAATCCTCTTCAAGCAAGGTTGTGTCATCTGTATATCGCAGGTTGTTAATGTGTGTTCCTTCCATCCTGACACCTCGTTCTTCATATAGTCCAGCTTCTCGGATTATTTGATCACTTTCTAGATTAAATAAACTAAAACATTAAATCTAAGACTAGAATAAACAGTAAAAATCTAGGAACAAGAAGAAGAATAGCTGCTGAAAATGTTTTAATTTCCTGATCCTTAGACTGTCCTAAAAGACTTTTTTTTTTAAATCTTACACAAAATTTATTGCTACAAGTTTCAAGTATATTAAGATTTACTTAATATAATTTTTAAAATGCATAAATACAAAAATTAGCAAAAAATTTTTCTTCAATGGATTAAAAAATCAACAGGGCTTATCTTTTACCTATAATTCTGATTATAGATAAAAACAATTCCATGAAGACCATCTAAAATAATGTTTTTTTTTTTTAGATTGGCATTAAATAGTAAAAGCAGGTAAGAAATATTCTTGAAGGTAATAGCTATGTCTTGACATCTCACTAAAAAGCTCACTTGGTGTTTAGTACAGCCACATCTCAATTGGGTACCCAAAAAGCATTTGATGCAGTTCCTGGTACCTATGTGCTAAAGGGGCACAGAGGAGGCATCTTCTGACTTCCTCTGGCTTCGCAAGAGGATAACAGAATCTCCGTCAGCAGCCTTAGGCCTGACATGCTGCCACCCTCCAGCTGTCTTAACAACCTTGACACCAACTGTCCCTCTTGTGGCACTCACCCCTCCCTGCTGGATTCAATAATTTGCTTCAGTGGCTACACAGAACTCACAGATTATGGGGTTTATTAGGGAAGCAACAAGCTGCAATTCAAGTTGAGGAACGTACTCAGGATACAGTTCCATTATATACATATATACAGTCTCCCCTCTGCTGTGTCCTTAGACATGCCTCTCTGGGCCTTGGCCTCTCAGCCTGGCCTCTGCCTCTGTGGGCCGGGTAAGCCTGCTGTTCTGTCTCATGCCTCTTGGTTCACTGCTGCCATATCTCAGCCGGGTGTCTCTCCCAGCTGTGCATCTCTCTCTCTGTCTTTTAGCTGCACATCTCTCTCTCTCAGTCACATATCTCTTTCTCAGCTACGCATCTCTCTCTCAGCTGTGTGTCTCTTTCAGCCACACATCTCTGTCAGCAGCATGTCTTTCTCTCTTAGCTGGCAGTCAGAGAGATTCTTTTCTGCCTCTAGGATGGCTCATTTTAAGCCTGGCAGAGTGGCAAAACTAACCAATCCTGACATCAGAATTCTAAACACTTGAGAGAGAACAAACTTCCCAGAAGATTACTTCTTGCTGTGCCAACAGAAATACCCCAGGTGGATAACTTTAACAATCAGGAGTTTAAAGGAAATTGGCAAAGAACAAGGCTCCAGGAATTGGTGAAATACCCACTGAGATGTTTCAACAAACTGATGCTTTACTGGAAGAAATTACTTGGTCATGCCAAGAGATTTGGAAGAGAGCTTCCTGGCCAACTGACTGGAAGAAATCCATATTT